TCTTAAAGTCTGAACGATGTACAAACACTTTAGAAATGAGACTAAAGTCCATCTAGCAGGAGGAAGAATCCCATGATCCCTCACTTTATCTTTTGTTATTACTTTGATGTCAGAAACTACATATTACACATTGAATGCTGCTGTATATAATATAATATGAGGCAGGTAGTAAGTGCTGATACTGGCCGCTGCTTGGCTGATAATAATCAATGACTTGCAAAAAGGCAGTTCAGTATCGGAGTAACGGATGTGAGATACTGGCTATACTGGTAATACTGGCACTCAACCCCCCCCTCCTTGTAAAGCATCCTGCTGCATGTTGACAGAAAGTAAAGTTAACAAGGAAAGTAAAATAACACCACACACTAACTTCCTTCAAGTATTATGAACTCTGCTGAATCATCCTCTTAAAGGTACAAATCTCATGTATGTGAATGAATGAATGAATGAATGAATGAATGAATGAATGAAGGCTGTATCAGGACGTTTTATGATTAATTCACACTTCACAAATAAAGGAAGGTTAATTCAGGGTTCCCACTTTTTCCAGGACCTTTCCAGGACATTTTCCAGGACAGAAGTTGTTTACAAACGCTCATACAAGCTGTGGGCAAATTGACTCCATTACTTTGAATAACAGTTCAACTCAAGAAGAATGAATCTTCTAGAAAGATAAAGTGTTCATTCATCAGTGTGCAGGTATTTATCAACCACAGACACAAGATATCTGATATCATTAACAGGCTGTATGAATGGAGATATGAGAACTTTACACACACACCAACCTCAGGACACATTGTTGAAGCCTCGAGTTCAGCGTTACGGTCGTAGCCATGTTGGGTTTTTTGCAGCCAGAGGGGGAGACGTACTGCGAGTTGGAGATTTAATTTCACATACAGATCATTCATAGACTGAGGTTTAATCCACAATCTCCTCCCTGGAAAAATGACTCTTGTAGGATAAGTTTCCAAACGTAGCTGTCAGACTGGGGTATGGATATGGAAATGAACATATTCCCCCAGAGTTGAGCACTTTGGGTCGATGTCACGGTCTATTATGTAAATGTGAGAGCCATTTTCATACCACATGTGATAGGACATCTAGGACAGGGTCCTGTAAACCTGGAAAAACAGTGTCTCAAAGCACATTCACCGTTCTTAAAATGTTTACTCTGCAGAAACACATGAAAGCATAAAACTACAATACATAAGAGTTTATTCTGCTTTCTTTACAACTTTTAAAACCTCATTATGTAACTTTTCTACCTTAAAATAACAGAGTTGGAACCGAGTGAACAGGTCCTCATTATGGCTGCTCTTACACTGTGTAACCTTTCAGCACTGTATCACTGACTTTAGTCAAATTGGGTCTTTTCCCTCCGACGTCCTCCGGCTGCTCAGCTCTCTGATTTCCAGAGTTTCCTGATGGACAGTAAAGTCACTGTTGTTAAAGTTGTTAAAGGAGTGCTGGCAGAACAGGAGCTTTGGACCGCCGGGAGGAGGAAGTTTTCAGGCCCAGGATGGGGAGGGATGGACGGAGAGCGTACGAGAGTCGTGATAGAATGAAAGGAAGGCGAGCGGGCTACAGAGATAGATAATGGCAGACGCAATCAGACCTAAGAGGCTGTCGGAGAAGAGTAAATGTGCGACTGGCTTTTGGTGAGAGCTTGGTGAAATAAAAGACAAACACTGGATTTCCAGGGGAAATAAATGTGATCAGACCAAACAAACTTTGACATTTATGAGACTATTTTCCTCGGACAAACAACAAATATAGGTGTTGTAGCTGTAGCAGCGTCCAGAACTAACCAAACCAAAACTACTTCTAGAAACAAGAAGAAAAGCAATGACCACAACTGTATCTTTGACTCATAAAATATCATATGGCTGTGAACCTGATGAAGGTATGAGCTGATAGGTGCACTTAAAGGCTTTTAGAGGTCAGTATTTGTCGTACACACATCCTCTAACAGACCGGGTCTTTTTCAGCATTAAAGCGAAGGAAGAACTGCGTATTCTTACGTCGTTTCTGCGAGACGGCCTGAAGGCAAGCTGTGATGATGTCGTAGTTCTTCTGCAGTTTGTGGCACAGTCGGTCCCGTCTCCTCAGCTGGCGGATGAGCTTGGCCGACTGCAGCCCTGTGCGATATTTCACCTCCTGGATGATTGACTGCAGCTCCTCCGGGGCTGAAAGAGCAGAGCAGACACATTTAATCCGGGTTGCCACAGCCTCGTGTACGTTTCGGACATTCGTCTCCCAGGTTTATCTGTTGTTCTTCACAGGAAGTAAACTAAAAACTGATACAGAATCTCATTTCCCGAATGAACAGGCTACAAAAATGGATGTCAGGCCTTCTCACCCTAACCCTCACCACATTAACTCATCCTGATAATCTGAGAGGCAACTTTTCTCTTTCTCTTCTCTCTGTTTCTGTTATTTATTTCAAGTTTCTATTAAACACAAATCGCCCTTTTTACTTCACAGAGACAAGTTTATTCAGGTTCTGGTTTAATGTGACCGTCTAAATAAAGCCACTTGATATAGTTTTAAAACAACATGTGATGTCTGTTAGGTCAGAATATCGCAGTCAGTTGTCGGTTTTCCGAGCTGCAGGCAAAGAAGAAATGAAAACCAGAACACCGGCCCACATAAACACACACACACACACGCACACACACACACACACACACTTATAGAGAGGCTGAAGATAATCAGATTTTCAACTGAAGGTGACACAGATCTGTGGACCAGACACAGATTACGGAGACATTGTGACCTCTGACCTTTCTGGGACAACTAAAGAAGCAGTGACTCAAACTTTAAAGCAGAGGAGCATGAAAACATGAATAATATAAAACTGCTATAATTAAATATTACATCTCTGGGCTTTGAATCAAGTGAAAATACCAAATATTTGCTCATTAAGGCTTCAGAAAAGAGAAGATATATTACTATATATGAATAAAAATAAGAAGATGAAGGTCCAAAAGGCTGTACATTAATAAATATTCCTGCATTAATCCACACAGTGAACAGGAGTTTCCTTATTTTTTGCTGGATTTGGTCCATTACTTGTGTGTGAGGTTGGTTTTTCCTGTCAGTTGTGTTTTATTTCTATTTAAACTGGAACTGCTGTCTTGGCCAGGTCTCCCTCGGAAAAGAGATTTTAATCTCAAGGGAATTCCTGGTTAAATAAAATAAATAAAATATACCTTCGGATCGCCAAAAATTAACAAATGACAGATTAATAAATAGTAAAAACAGTCTAAGTTGGATTATAACCATATATTAACCACTAGAAATATTTTAATGAACATTTCCACCTTCCTTTGAAGTTAACTATTATTTAATATTCTGGCTTTTCCACCGAGGGGGAGGTCAAAGGTCATGGTCACTGTTAGAGCTGCAGCCCACGCCCTTCCTGTGTGTTTGGATGTGGCTGATCGGCTCCAGCTGTTGAGGCGTGGCCCACCCTAACCTTCCTACTTCCTGTCCGATAAGTAGAAGATCCTGAACGGACACCCGGTGCAGCTCTCCCAGAGAGAGAGAGAGAGAGAGAGAGAGAGAGAGAGAGAGAGAGAGAGAGAGAGAGAACTGAGGCGCTTGTTTACCACCTGGGGACTGGGCCAGGTACGGATTTTAACTGACCGCACACACAGGATTTAAAATCAGGTGGCATTTTAAATGATTTTGGTTTTATTAAGTAGAGTTTAGATGTCTTTCTTTCTACTTTTAGTTTCTTTTAGGATGTAATTTGGAAGTTATTAGAGTCCTCTTTTGCACTGGTGGACAAAAAGTATGACAAAGTGCCATCGAGGGTGCTCTTCCAGTGGATATAACATAATAAAATGCCCTATAAGTTGCTGATTCTAACACTACTCCAACTACACGCTGGAGCCATTTTTATTTTTCCACCACTGCCAGTTTGGTTGTATTTATTTATTTGATCTGAGCTGCATCCACCAACCTTTACCTTTGTACTTTTGCCTCAGTTATTTTTCTTTTTAAGAGGCTGAGTGTTAACAGTCACATCCTGGAGGTGGCAGAAGGGACACAAAGAGCTTCCGTACTTATTAAAACCACACTGCTGACCTAAAGAGGACTCAAACTTCCCCCCATACACCATTAATCCCAGACTTTAGCCGCCCACTGAGGCGTTATCATTATGGTCTTCCTCTTCCTGAGTGCCGGCCCTCTGCAGTGTTTAACATGTGTGGAGGGCAAACACTGAACTCACGGGCCGGGCGGTGTTTACTGTAGGATTCCTCCTTAACAGAGGAAACAATGGCGGCGTGGCACTCACAGCGACATGCCTATCGAGACTCCGAGGAAACACCTTCACACACACACACACACACACACACAGAGGAGGTGTGTGTGTGTGTGTGTGTGTGTGCACTGTGAGGCCTCCTATCTGATTACAGTGAAAGGCACATACTGTTCATTACAGTCTCATCTCAGGGAATGAAACTAATTAATTACGGTGCATTCAAGTCTCGTGTTATTAAATATCTCTAATACTGTCTATGTAATTATAATGTACATCCCTGTAGTCTGGCTACCAACCCAACGATGCACATTAATACGGTTCATTTATCAGTTTAGTGCCTCCTGTGGTTACATGTTATTTTACAGTATACAGCAACAGCAGCTGTTATAATGCTAAAGATCATCAGTTTGGCTCCAACAGGTGGATTTGTGAATGCTGAGATGGGACTAATATAAAATGGTCCTTTGTTCCCATCAATATAATTAACTTACAGCACAAACATATACTAACATGTGCTGGGAGATTTAAAGAAGATGGGTAAAAATCTGCTTCACACAATTAATAATTAATCACAACAATCAGGACTAGAAGAGGTTGTATGGAAGCTTATTTCTGCCAATGTGACAACAACAAATCTGTTTTTTTAATGAGAAACTTTAGCAATATTTTGAATTATTATCTCAAAATGATGATTTACTATTATAAAGTCATTGTCAATTGATCCAGATGTTGTCTCCTGACACCAGATGTTCAGAAACAGGACCTGTGAACGCCCTCTGAACACAAACACCCCCCCCACCATCACCTCACCTTTCTGCGCCAGGTAGTTCATCTGATGCCTCCGGGTGTGTTTCTCCTGGAGCTCCTGGAGGAAGCTGGACCCGGAGTTACTGCGGCCCAGGAAGGCATCCGACCCGGACGCCTCGGTGGAGCTGTCCCAGCTGTCCACATTCGTCCTGCCGCCTCCGCTGTACGTCTCATACAGCTCCACCAGCAGGCAGTCCACTATGGAGCTCCGCGGGGCTTTCACTGCATCCCCCCGGCAGTCGGAGTCGCTGTCCCCGGCCGTGCTGGCCCTTCGGGCGGCGGTAGCGGCGGCAGGCGGAGCCCCGCGCTCCGTGCTCGGGGGGGGTGATGATGTGTCAGTCGGTGACTCGGCGGGGATCGTCCACTGCTGGAAGCCGGAGAAATCCTCCTGATGGGAGGCGGAAGAGTTCACAAAAACACCGCTCTCGTCCTCGGAGCACGCGCCGCGGTCGCATATGTCAACTTCCAAAAGTTCATTCCCGTTTAATTTCACCTCCGACGCCATTTTATTTCTTTAATTCTTATAGTTCTTTTAATTATCGGCACAGACGAGCTGCTCCTGTCCGGATCCTCGGAGCGGGAAAGTTGACATTTTTCCCAAACAAAGATAAAGTTGTGAAGTTTTCTTTGAGTTCCTGGAGCATTCCATTCCTCTCCTCGGGAAGGTGGAGACCCGTCTGACAGCTTGTGCTATCCTTCCTGAACGTTCCCCCCAACCCCCCCTCTGAGACGGAACAATGGGCCGGCCCACTCAACTTCTCAACGGCTGCCAAACTTTCTTCAGGTCGCGCGACAGGTGCTGCAGGTGGCCGGAGGCGGTGGCTCGACCAATCACAGAGCAGCCTAAAGTGTCTCGACCAATCACAGAGCAGCCTAAAGTGTCTCGACCAATCACAGAGCAGCCTAAAGTGTCTGGCCCAATCAGCGTCCTTCGTTTAAAGGCTAGCGAGGTTGTGTAGTAGAAAACAACGGAACATAAAAATAATAAAAACTGTTTTATAGTTTTACTTATTTTAATACTTTATACTTATTTTAATTCTTTATACTCATTTTTACATTTTACACTTTTTTCTTTGTGTTTTCTTTGTATTTCTCAACAAACATTAGAGAGCAAGAGGAGACCAAACAACAAATAAATAAACATATTTAAAGGTAAAACTTAATTTTTGAGTATTTAAAGTAAAAATATGCAAAAAATTTGAAATGCAGTTGACTTTTAATAGTCATTAGTGCCATGAAATCTCTTATTGAAACATTATTATTATTTCTTTCAGCCATTTTTGCTCATTAATAGGTCTGGAATGGAAGAAAGTTGGTTTAAATTTATTTAAGTTGGTATAAGAGAAAGCATTTTTTACATTGCTGTTATATATTGTTGTATACATATTTTTACTTATTTATTTTCTATTTATATATATAAATATCGTTGTTAAACTTTGTAGAATAATGTACATATTTTTACACAATTCTTATTTTCTATTTTCTATATATATTGTTTTTATATATCGTAATGTAATGCACATATTTTAATGTACTTCTTATTATTTCTATTTTGTTATAATTTCTTTGTTTAGCAGGATTAATAATTTCGGGTTTAAAAAGCGCATTTTAAAACTGTTACAAGATGCTTTATAGTATAAATATTAGTTTAATTTAAACAAGAAATAACATTATTAAAAACATTAAAAACTAAAAAAATGAAGAGTAGAGGATCATATTAAGGTATTTTCTATCACAATAAAAATGACAACAACAGAAATGGGTATATATTTCTAATTTACTTCATGTTTTTTTGCACGTTTTGAGGCTACCGTAGTTTCTGCTTTGTGACACAGACGCCATTAAACCCATTAAACTCTGCACACTGGACCTTTAAGTTCAGTGAAAAAAGATGTTTATTTGGAAAAATGTCTGAAGATTTGAAAAGAAAACAAATTGTTGATTTCTAATGTGCCACAATAATGTAATGTTTTAATTCTTAATTTTGGGGCTTTTCCAAGGAAATATTGATATTTGTGAATGTGATTAAATCAGCAAACATTTCCTGCCACCTCTTAAACCTCATTAATATTTCTCTAGAAGGTAACTTTTATTAAAAATTGACTTTTTGTTATATTTGCGGAAACTTTAACGATATCCTGAAAGTACACGAGACGGATAATCTGTGATAATCCGGCTCCTCCTAGTTCATGCTGACGTAAACACGTCACATTTAGTTTCACAGGAAGACACAAGGATTAGATTTTAATATAAAATACAAAGAAATTTAGTTTTATCATAAATTAGAAAATACAATAAAACTGAGGATGTGATCTTAAAGGGTTCAAATGTCATTTTTTAATTTCACCTGGACTTTAAATAAAACTGGTTTGTTTCATACAGAACCCTTAAAAATGTATATATTTAAGAAAATATGACAAAAAGTATTTTATTATAAAAACTACTTCCAGCATCTTTAATTAAAAACAACACAGTGATAAACATTAGACACAAACAGCATGGATGAATGCAGTAATAAAACTGTTTACACCACAATAACAGTTATTTTTACTCCTTAGTCACGCTGTGTGTGTGGGGGGGGGCGAAACGTCACACAAATCAGCTGATTCAGGCTTCCGTAGCCGAGCAGCACGTGACCCGGAAGTAGGGCAGTGTTGTCTCCAACAGAAACAGGGCCGAGTCTGTTCGCGGGTGTTTCTCCGGTGAGGACTCACCGACAACATTTCACGGTCCCACGCGGCGCAGAGCGGAGGCAAGACACCGGACAGCGTCACTAGTTTGCGATTAAAAAGCACAACAATGCGCACGAGCCGCCGTTTCCCGCTCCCCGCGCCGACCTGCCTGCTGATGTGCGTCACTCTGTGGAGCTACCTGAGCGACGGGCTGTTCGCCCAGCCGAACCGCCGGCCGAACATCGTCTTCATCCTCACCGACGACCTGGACGTCGCTATCGGGGGTCTGGTGAGTTTACTGTGTGTTATTGATTATTATAGGAGCTTATTGGAGAGCTGACACTGCAGGTAAACAACACGTAAACAACACGTAAACAACACGTAAACAGCTGGTAAACACGTAAACAGCTGGTACAGCTCATATAAAGGAGAATAATATGTGATTAATAGATGTTTTACAGCTGGTACAGCTCATATAAAGGAGAATAATATGATTAATATATGTTATACTGCTGGTACAGCTCATATAAAGGAGAATAATATGATTAATAGATGTTTTACAGCTGGTACAGCTCATATAAAGGACAATAATATATGATTAATAGATGTTATACTGCTGGTACAGCTCATATAAAGGAGAATAATATGATTAATAGATGTTATACTGCTGGTACAGCTCATATAAAGGAGAATAATATGATTAATAGATGTTTTACTGCTGGTACAGCTCATATAAAGGAGAATAATATGTGATTAATAGATGTTTTACTGCTGGCTGGTTAAGCTGACTGTTCGCATTCCTTCTGGTTGGACACATCATTTAGGCATCTCACAGAGTCAGCAGCCTTATCATTAACCCACAGTGTCCTTCTAACACTGGCTCCCAGGCTTCAGGAACTCCTTTTATATCATTAATAAACTCATATTTTATAGATATTTCATATTATATTCAAACTGTACAATGAACTCAAACAGTGAAAACAGGACGTTTGTGTAAAACCAGAGATTTGGATGAATTTTGAGCCGATTATTTCCCGTTTTTATACAATTCTCTGTCTGTATTATGTATTTTTTATTATTTTTAACAACCATACAGACTCAACAGGCTTCTTGTTTTCTTCTCCTTGACGCTTTGTTGCTCATTGTTTTATTAAAATAAGCGATAAGATGTTCCTTTATTGATCCCACGTAGGGGAAATTCAAATTTGGTACATCAGTTCGGAGGAAATGTAGTTTAAAGAGCAAGAAATAAGGCAAAAAATAAAATATAATGAAAGGAATATAATAAAAATCTAGAATATAAAAAGTATATACACTATATTCAATTAGAAAAATATTAACTTCTCTCCACAGTAGTGAACCAGATGCTCAGATATAGATCCACTGTGTATATTTTAATTTAGTTTTATACACACATTACACTAACACTGATCTTAAAGCCCTCAACTGGAAGCAGGTGTCCATGAATAATATATATTTATTAGATATAACTAAAGTTTAGTTGAGTGTGAAATAAAGATGGTTGATTGCAGCCAATCTTTTTCCTTCCAGAGTCCACTCAGCAAGACGAAAAAACTCATCGGTGATGCAGGAATATCCTTCACAAACGCAGTGAGTATCCTCGCCATCATTACTGCCCCCCTCGCCATCATTACTGCCCCCCTCGCCATCATTACTGCCCCTCTCGCTGTCCTATTATCTCCCATCAGGGATCTTTTAGTGGCTGAAAGAGGAGATTTTACTCCTGATTTTATTTTGGGGTTCACCATTCTCTGTCTCTCATCCTCTTCCCTCTCAGTTTGTGGCGAGCCCGCTGTGCTGCCCCAGCCGAGCCAGCATCCTGACGGGGAAATACCCCCACAACCACCACGTCATCAACAACACGTTGGAGGGAAACTGCAGCAGCAAGGCCTGGCAGAAGAGCGAGGAAGCCCACGCCTTCCCCGCTCTGCTGAAGACCCTCGCCGGGTACCAGACCTTCTTCGCTGGGAAATACCTGAACCAGGTGAGAGACGACCGGACTTCTACTGCTCAGAAATACCTTAAATGAGCAGAATAATGTGATAATACATGAATACTTTCATACGTTTTATCTGAAGAATGAAGGAAGTGAGAATTATTTTCCCTTTAATGGTTTAGTTTTGTTTACATCTGCTAATTGCACATGAATGGAGACGGACTTCCTGTTGTTCATGAACTCGCCCTTAATCCTGTTTATCAGCGTGCACAGAGGCATTAGTCTGCAGTTAGTCAGCAGCTTTACAGGACGCTGGATCCAGACCAGTGCAGTCCAGATGTGGTTTATATTCCAGTTTACTACCAGTTAGCATAAATAAAGTAAATGTATGAAAAGAGAGTCTGTGTGATTTCAGGTGTTTGTTAATAGTGAAAACAGTCATCAGATGTCCTGTCATACAATTTAATGTCACAATGAGGTCCAAATGTAAAAGTTGCGTCTTGTGATAAACAGATGGTGAAATAGGGAACCGGGACGACGAGATAGAAACCCAGAAACATCTTGTTTAACCCCGAGTTCCCTGAACTGTATCACTGAACTCTTCACTTGTGACCCCTTAAAGTTAAGCAACGTCATCTTGTGACCCCTGATCACAGGTCAGCACACATGTCCTGTAGTGTGGGGGCGACTCCACTGGCTGCAGTAAATAAGTCTGATAGTATTGAGTCTTATGGAGAAGTTGATGTATGAGCTCAGTAAACAGTTTCCTGATGAGTTTCTGGTCTCAGTCTCTAGTTTCAGTCTTCTTCCATACAGCATGATGTTCATTTAGTAACTGATGGTCCCATTTAGAGTAAAACAGACCATAAAGCAGGGTATGCTTGTGTGTATGTGTGTGTGTGTGTGTGTGTGTGTGTCATCAAACACATCGGACTGTTTGTGTGTTTCAGTACGGACACTCGGAGGCTGGTGGAGTGGAGCATGTTCCTCCAGGCTGGAGCTACTGGGTTGGACTGGTAAGACTGGAAACTTTTAACCTTTTGGCCACAGAGTTAGTCCGAGGCTCCCTCCTGTCTGGCATCATGGGTCATTTCTGGATCTGTATAATCTGTAATGGTTCCGCATTAAAAGGTCTATAAACACTAGAGCTATGTCCTGTATGTTGTACTTTGTACTTGGGGACAGTTTTAGGATCTTATAGCGGATTAAAGGCTGTGTCGGAGGAAATAAAACAAAAGTCTTGGAGGGAAATTTAACCCTTTTTGCTATAAAAATAATCAAATCAGATGAAAAATATTGAACCTTATTATCATCTGATCCGCTCTCTGCACGTTGTCCATCTGCAGTGTATTGTTTCAGATGTTTAAGAGGAGGATTTAGCTCACTAACATGTCTGTGGGAAGTTTCCATGTGACTGGAGGCTCTGCAGAAGGAGCCAGACAAGCAAATAGGCTAAAATTAGATTTTCTTGAATTTACCGTCCGTCTCTAACCGGTTTACAGAAGTCATTACGCAGAGGTCACATCGGCAGCGCAGACTAGTTTATCTTCTCTGCTGCTGAACAAACACTGATGTGAGAACTGGTCTCATGACCTGACAGCTTATCGCAGCACAGAGGCACTTTATGGTTTCTACAGTCAAACAGCCGCCGTCAGTCAGGACATGTGACCATGTGAAACTTCTGTAATCTGTTAACTTGTTTAAAGAAAATAATGAAGTTCAAGCTGCTTAAAGTGAACTAAAAGCAGAATATTATAAGAGTTTGAAATCATTACTGTAAATCCTTTACTAAGGAAGAACAGTGGAGGTTTTACAGATGATTGAGGTTTATATTCTTTATGTTGGATCAAACTAGTTTTGATGGATGATGTTTGTTTTCCAGGAGAAGAACTCTAAATATTACAACTACACTCTGTCAGTGAACGGAAAGCCTCAGAAACATGGAGCCGACTACAGTAAAGACTACCTGACAGACAAACTGGTGAGACATTCTTTATGTTCTCTATCTTTTAGAGGTTTTAATCTTTTTATCTAACTAGAAGTAACTGCGCTCTGTCTCTTTCTCTCTCAGGCCAACATGTCTCTGGAGTTCCTCCAGTATAAATCCAACTACCAGCCGTTCTTCATGATGGTGTCCACGCCGGCCCCCCACTCCCCGTGGACGGCGGCTCCTCAGTACCAGGACAGCTTCAACAACACCAAGGCTCCCAGAGACCCCAACTTCAACATCCACGGGAAGGTACGGCCTCACACGGGACTTAAACACCTTCAAATGCTTCATTAAAAACAAATGCGTCACAGATGTGATAGTTCAGTGTTTGGCTTAAAGGAGCTGATTGTTGGTTTCTTTCCGTCTCTTCAGGACAAACACTGGTTGATCCGACAGGCTAAAACCCCGATGACCAACTCCTCTGTTCAGTTCCTGGATGATGCTTTCAGGAAACGGTCAGTCGTTGCTTCCCCTCACCTTCCAGTTGTTTGTGACGATCTATCTGTTACTGTGAACCTTTATGAGGTGTGTTTGTGGTCCCGGCCTGCAGGTGGAGAACTCTGCTGTCAGTGGACGACCTGGTGGAGAAAATAGTGAAGAGCCTGGAGGTCAGAGGTGAACTGGACAATACGTACGTCTTCTTTACCTCCGACAACGGCTACCACACAGGTGAGGAACTGCACACACACACACACACACACACACACACACACACACACACACACACACACACACACACACACACACAGCTGCTGTCAAGGAAAGGATCTGAATGAAGTTTGGAGAAAAGTTAGGAAGGAAGGAAGCATCCAGACGTTCTTCTGTCTCCACTCACAGACTTTATGAGAGATATCCAGCAGACATTTTTAACTCTATCCGCACTGTAAGTCTCAATTTCTGCAGACTTTGAGGGAATTACCCACAGTTCATAGTGATGTGACGGTAAACCTGGGGCTACCAGAGGAAAACCTAAAGAGTTAAATAAACAGTAAACAAACATGGAAGAAAAAATAAGTATACATGGAAGTGTGTGATTTTCTATATACACAGAATATTGAATACACACATGGTTTATAGCATTATACTAAAATAAATATAATTATATAAATATTGTCTTGAATTAGGGATGAAATGACAAAGATTACAGCAGGAGGTAAAATATAACTGCACATAAATTAGTGTAATTTAAAGGAAATATAGGACATATAGAGAGACAGATAATTACACAGTACAGCTTTAATATAATCTTCACAATGTTTATTATAATAAAATATATAATAAACTTTATTTATAGTAAATCTATAGTTAGCACTATAGTTACAAAGTGCTTCACATGGTTGAACCAGAAATAAAACATTTAAAGACAAATAATAGAGTAATAAAAATAAAGAGATGTGATTGGTTCGTTGTGTCTCTTTCAGGTCAGTTCTCTCTTCCTCTGGATAAAAGGCAACTCTACGAGTTCGACATCAGAGTTCCTCTCATGGTCCGAGGACCGAATATTAAACCCAACCAGACCAGCCAGGTACGCACGCACGCACGCACGCACGCACGCACGCACGCACGCACGCACGCACGCACGCACGCACGCCCACACACACACACACACACACACACACACACACACACACACACACACACACACACACACTGTATACCAAAATATCTTATTATGTTTTTATGTTTTAACAGATTATTTTTCCTCCTGGTGAAATTATGTTAGTTTGTAAAACTGCAGTTTTCATATAATTGTTAAATATGTATTTGTATGTTTGATTTGCCGCTGACATTATAAAATAGACGAGCGCTGATGTATTGAATTAACATTATTAATCTCCTTCAATACATACAACATAATTTAAAGATCCCTGCAGACATTAAGACATGTACAAATACTCTGCTTGGAACAATAATGTGTGTTTCTCTGCAAACAAAAGTATAATTTCCACATTAAAACCCTTAAAAAATAATTTACTCGTCATCAAAAACTCCAGAATCTATGAAAATGCAGGTTTAGTTTATTTCTAAACTCCATTCTCAGTGTCTGACTGTTGGATACTGGACCAGGTACAGAGATACATAATGAACATTAAAGAGGCAGAACTTTAATGACTCCATGTTGGTTTCAGATGCTGGTGGCGAACGTCGACCTCGGTCCGACCATGTTGGACATCGCCGGCATCAACGTCAACAAGACGCAGATGGACGGGATGTCCTTCCTGCCCGTGATGGTGAGGTCACTGATTGAACACAGACTTAATGTCATCATGAGGTCAGAAAGTATGGAGGACTGAAAACGCCAAAATCAATCAATATTTATTTTATTAGATTTTGGTTAACTTTAAATTCATATAATATTCATTATATATTATGCTCACACTGTACTTAATTATATTTTATATTCTACGTTATATTGCTGTACTAACTGCACATTGTGTTTTACTATATTATATCCTATATTATATTATACTGTACGTTATTATGTTGATATAGTTACACAATGTACTACATCATATTTCTATATTCATACATTAACTACACTATCATAAATCATATTATATACTTTAATTGCTTTTTATTTTATATACTTACACATATATTTGTACATTTTAGTCTGTTTATCTGTATTTATTTCTGTTCTTATGCTGAATTTCCCCTCAATAAAGGCTCATCTTCACTTATTTTAATCTAATGTTATTCAATCAAGTAGTTGTAAACTGTGCGATCAATAAATGTTCTTCAGAAAAATATAATTTCTATGCACAAATCCGTTATATGTTTCACCAGGAGGGGAAGATGAACAGCAGCAGCTGGAGAACAGACATCCTGGTGGAGTACGAAGGAGAAGGAAGCAACGTGTCGGACCCCGCCTGCCCTCTGCTGGGACCAGGAGTGTCGGTAGGAAACTTTAATATCAGCTGTCGGGGAGGAGGAAGGTCTCTGCAGCAGGAAAAACACACAACTCTCTTTCATCCATCTTTCTCCAGGAGTGTTTCCCAGACTGTGTGTGTGAGGACTCTTACAACAACACCTACGCCTGCGTGCGCACCGTCGCCCCCTCTGCCAACCTGCAGTACTGCGAGTTCGACGATAACGAGGTGTTTTATCTCCTGCCGCTCCGGGGCAAACTCGGCTCACGTAAACTCTCGCACATTGAACTAATTACGTAATAATGTTATGTCCCGTGTAGGTGTTTGTCGAAGTGTACAACGTGACATCGGACCCCTACCAGCTGACCAACATCGCAAAGACCATCGACCAGGAAGTTCTGGAGAAGATGAACCATCGGCTGATGATGCTGCAGTCCTGCTCCGGACAGTCGTGTCGGACGCCCGGCGTTTACGATCCGAGGTCTGTTCAGCACTGAAATGTCTCCAGATTAAAAAACACAGTAGCAGGTTTGATTGTCACACATTTTATGTCAACACATCTAAAACGTGTAGCAAGAAGATATTGATAAACTGTACAACTGGGAAAATAGCTTCTTCTTCTTCCACTTGTGAAGACGTGAGAGCTCTGAGCTTTAAGATTTTCTGTGTGATTAGCAGACTTTATACTGTAAACTGCAGACAAAAGTCCAACTGTAGTAAGCACAGGTAAGGAAATCTTCAGGCTATAAAAATAATGAAAAAACTGAAAGAAAATGCACAAATGAAGCACTAAATTATTATTAAGTTTTCCATTAAATAAGGACTGATGTAGTGTCACGTTCTTTCCTCCAAGTCATCAATTAAATCCTGATAACAGACACCTCGTCGGGCATTATCCCTCACGTAAAAACACACTTCAAATTCACCAAAACTGCCTCGGTTTGTCTTCCTGCCAACAATCACCAACTCTTGTATCGTCTCAGTAAATCTGAAACGGTCAGGTGTGAAAATATTCTTACAGCGGTTTCCCTCGCTGTCTTTAAACTAAATGATGTTGACTTCTAAAGTACGAAGTGCTCCTGTCCCAAGGGAGATGATCTGTCCACAGTCTCCATAAAACTAAACAGAAAGTTCATTAAAGTTTTATTTCCATTTAGATTTTTGTGGATGTTTTGATGCTTTTTTTGCCATTTCAAACCACATTTCCACAAACTGTATACAAACACACCAACATCGGCTCCTCTGTGTGTTTCCAGGTATAAATTTGACCCTCGACAGATGTTCAGCAGCCACAGCTGGCGGCTCAGCAGACTCCGACAGAAGATGAAATAGGACGAAGGAGGACGGATGGAGGGAGGAGACGGAGGAAGAAGGGCTGTATTGTATTTTGTATTCGGCCTTTCCTGCTGTTGTTGCCTTGTTTTCGGGCCTCCTGAGCCAGTCTCTGTGTAGATGGATGCAGAAGGGATCACGCGGGGTCATATTATGGGTTGGTTGCCGTAGAGACGGGAGGCCTCTCTGGTTGCAGAACCCACCTTTAGTCAGTAGGTGTGCAGGGAAAGCCAAATTATTCAAGATGGATTCACACTCACAACCTTTCATTCAGTGATTGTCTGCACGCTCACAATCCCCGAGCCCGATTCTCTCGGAGAATATCATTATAGCAATAATCAAAGCTTTCTCATTTACTCGTCTGAACTGGTTTTTTGGTGCATTTGGTCTGTTTCTATGTTCGTTGCACTAAAATTGTGGATATATAAGTTTATAACGTCGCTGTAAACTGATTCCCATCCAAACGAGGCAAAAAAATGTAACCAAATTTACAGAAAATCTGCAGAAAAAATGCTGATGTGTCCTATTAGTGTAATGTGAATATCAGGAGTTTAATCATCGTTAAACTTGTTTTAATCGAGGTGGAAATGTAGTCACATTACAAACAGCAGTTAACTTCAACAGGTTATTACAAAATCAATCGAAAACTTTAAGTAAAACATTCGTGATCGAGTAGCTTTAGTAATTTTAAGTTACACTTAATTTGTAGTTTTTAATTTGTACTCGTTACTGTAATTAGTTAGTCTCACTAAAAATTAACAGCAAAAACTGCTTAATCAAAGAATCCTAATATATTATTATTACCATTATTGTTCACGTTATTCATTATTTTAGAAATTAATCAAGTAAAATTACAAAAAATTTAGTGATTCATTTGTCACCATCGATACCAGATTGATGGTAAATAAATCCAGCATATCAGAGTTCCCGTGTGTCCTGGAAATAATCTGTAATCTGAGTAAACGGGTGCGTATTTAGTTTGAAACTGGACCTTTGTTAGGAAGAGCTGCCCGATGTGGTAGCCGAGCAAGTCGGTGGCCTTTTCAGAGTTGAGACGTTGACGAAAACTGTCGGCAGTTCGCCACGAACGCGAGCTAATGACGCTTTATCATGAACCTGCATCCTTAAAAAGACGAGTTACAGTCAGTGAGTGTTTGTGAGCGAGGGCTGTCCTTTATAATCGAGAGAACCTCCTGGAAGATGATTTCTTAAAGAGCGCAGCAGCACAGGGAACATCGAGGGATCCTCTGTGTTCTCGTACACAATATGATGACGACTGACTGCACCAAAAAACCTGACAGCCAGTTTATCTTCTGCTCTATGAAACAGAGCGAATATCAGTAGGAGGAGAACTGGGAGAAACAGCGCCACCTACAGCCGGTAGAGGCCCAGTGTCGACATGAAGTAACTTAAAGGTTGATGTTAGAAATGTACAGTAAGGTGTCCCGAGCATTTAGCATCAGCTGGTTTTGGTTAATCTTGAGGTTATTTATATGCCTAATTCAGAGAAAGCTCAATGTCACTGTTGCAAATGTTCAGACGTAATATTTCTGAAGTTCTGCTGGTGGTTTATTTTCTGCTGCGCAGCGTTGTGTCACTGACCTCCATCCATGTTTGTCGCTGTGATTCTGTTTTAAGCACATAAATAATCCCACAATCTGCAAACCGGGAGCTGAAATATGGCCACAGCGTCTGGTTTAAACGTCTTTTTTGTGCTTTGAATGGATTCAACATCTTCAGTAACTCCCAAACCTCTCCTACATTGTCCAGATCAGCCAATCAGCTGCTGAAATATTGATTATGCTAGCATTAGGTTAGTGCTGGGGACACACACTGTACATTTCTAACATAAAACTTTAGCGTTCAAGTTGGCGACAAACAGACGAACAGAAAGTAAAACCTTCATTAAACATCTGTGATCAATATTTTCTCCCACAGTCGGCAGTATTCTGGAAAAATGACTGAATGAATTCACTGAAACTGAACTTTGACGCACAGAATCAGACTTTTACAACGTATGCGACTCATCAGAAAACAGTTTAATAAAACAACTTTTGACTGAAAACAGAATCGGGAACATTGTAAGTGTTACATTCACACATTATTCAGTGTCTCGACTGAGCGATAAAGCACCTTTTTCATTCACAGATCTCATATTAATCATCACTTTTCATCTTTTCTTCTTATGTTTTGTAAATTGTTTGTCATCTTATTGATTCCCTATTTGGATTTTAATCCGTCACGTGTTGCACATTTCATACCGAGTTCATTTAAAAACATGAATTTGTACGTTGGAGTATTTGACTGATAATTTCATGTTTGAGGGATTTGACTGAGCCACTGGTTCCTAATGAGAAGAAGTCATTTCAGAAAGACGGAAGATAAATCTTGCCAAAAAAAAAGAAATCAAGTTTTATATCAGTTGTTTTTAGTTTTATTGGTTGGATGTGAGAACTTTAAAAGGCCAAATAAAAGTTTAATTTGAGCAGTAGAGATGTAATAATGTTTAAAATAGAGGAATAATCTATATTTGATAGATGTTTCAATGCGACCTCCTTCATACTTTAAGGGAACTAAACATAGATAATGTCTTTAATTCTTTTTGTGGCCCGGCCTTTATGTTTCTACAGTCAGTGTTTGTTCATTTTAAATTTATTCTAATATTATTATTAACATCCAGCTGAAGATCTGATTCAGAGAGTTTAAATATTAAACAAGGTGACATTCAGAAAGTCTCTCTGCTACGTCTGCGTGACGTCTGCTGTCAAATCTTTTTTTAAATTTTTGCTCGTGAGTTATTTTCTTTCTGATGAAACTGGTAAATTGTGAATCGTTGGTTTTCTGTTCGCTCGTACAGCTCGTTCTTCCTCCGTTCGACATGAGAACATCGAGCTCTAAAGTCAACAAACACGCTGTGATTAGTTTCCCTCTCAAAGCCGATCACCTCGTTCCAGTTCACTGATGCACTTTCCAACCTGTCAGGATGTCTTTTTGTTTTTGGAACCCGTCGTTTTATTTTCAGAGCAGTTTTTTTGATGATGATGATGATGATGATGATGATGATGATGATGATGATGTATTTTAGGCTTGTGTGTTTTTGTCCAAATAAATTCTCTAAATATCTCAGAGAGTTGTGATGATTGATGTGATCTCGCTGTGACGGAGTATCTGAGCCACACAGAGGGCGGGAAAACAAAATCTAAATTGTTCAACTAAAAAGTTTCAATGTTACGAAAAATAAAGTTGACTAAAATGTTAAAATGTAGAAACACGGCGGACTCAGTAGATAAAAACGTCTCATTCTTAGGAAACAAACGATTCTTATGTTCAGCTGATTATAAACTAATAAAACATGAAGTTGTAATTTCAAATAAAAACAACTTTATTCTCTAAATATGACTTCAATTTCTTTTCCTAATACTCTTAACTAGTTTAATTAGTCTGCCTGTTTTTAAAAAGCCCTCAAATGCATCAAACTTTTTAAAGGTCGTTTGAAGGACCAGTGTTTAGGATTTAGTGCCATCGGACTCGACCAAACTACGGCGAAACTGACAAAAAACACAGAAGGCCGATCTAGACGTAAAGTAGATGTAAATATTTGGGACACTTTTTGAACTAAATGTTTGTTAATTTTATCCCATTAAATTAAAGTTTTCTTCTAAAAACGTCTTTATAAGTTTCTAAGTTCACCTCTGGACTTTAAACCAGGTTCGATCCAACGTCCCTGTGGCGCTCTGGAGGTGAACGCCGACTAAAAACCCTTAAAAATGTAAAATCCCGAAAAAAAAAAAATTTGTAGTGCTCGTGGTGTCAAAAATAAAAGCATCCGCCTACGGCCATCAGCGTTTCGTCCACCATCAGCTCGGCCATCAGCTCGGCCACCCCTCCAGGACGGGCAGGAACGGCAGCTCGGTGCTGCCCAGGTAGGTCCTCCCTCGGTGCTGGAAGACGTCGCTGACGGCCCACGTCAGACGGCCTTCGGGGTCGTGCAGCGTTCCCACGATCTCGCCATCCGATCCCAGCTCCAGGACCAGAGCGTAGCGCGGCAGCAGGAGGTTGTACCAGCTCAGAGGAATCACCTGGCAACGATCGATAATCAATT